ACAGAAAAGAACCCAGAGCACTGCTGCCGCCACGGCCTCGTATGTGTTTCTAACCCCCTATCACCCCCAGCTGCATTCGGGGTTCCTGCTCCCAGTACAATTCGCAATACTAATTTGTTTCTCAATTGCGCAGGAATTCGAGACCCATCCCCAGCCCTGCATTCAACCAAGAACCTCATCGCAATGAAGTCTCGCCACTCCAGAACCGCCAGGCTCCCGAGCTGGACGACTCGTACGTTTTTCCCACCGGTCCCCCTTCACTGCGATTATGGCGCTGACCGAGCCCTTTGTGCCCACACAGTTTCGTCGGTCTCAGCGGTGGTGAGATTTTCCACGAGATGATGCTGCGTCTTGGCGTCAAGCACGTTTGTGAGTCATGCCTTTTTCCCCCTTCTCGGTGAAGGTATCAGGATTGACCCACTGTCGATAGTCGGCTACCCTGGAGGTGCCATTCTTCCCGTTTTCGATGCCATCTACAATTCCAAGCACTTCGACTTCATTCTCCCCAAACATGAGCAGGGCGCTGGACACATGGCTGAGGGTTATGCCCGTGCCTCTGGCAAGCCCGGTGTTGTCCTCGTCACTTCCGGCCCCGGTGCCACCAACGTGATTACCCCGATGCAGGACGCTCTCTCGGACGGAACTCCCATGGTTGTCTTTTGTGGTCAGGTCCCGACTAGCCTGATCGGAACCGACTCTTTTCAGGAAGCCGATGTGATTGGAATCTCCCGCGCTTGTACCAAGTGGAACGTGATGGTCAAGTCTGTTGCCGAACTCCCTCGCCGTATCCAGGAGGCTTTCGAAATTGCCACCAGTGGCCGCCCCGGACCTGTCCTCGTCGACCTGCCCAAGGATATCACCGCCGGCATTCTCCGCAAGTCTATTCCCATGAACAGCACCCTTCCGGCTCTGCCCAGCGCTGCCAGCGTGGCTGCCCGCGAAGTGAGCATGCAGCAGCTCAAAGGCACCATCGGCCGCGTCGCCCGCCTGGTCAACATGGCCAAGAAGCCCGTCCTGTACGTTGGTCAGGGTCTGCTCGCTCGCCCTGATGGCCCGGAGGTTCTGAAGGAGCTGGCTGACAAGGCCTGCATTCCTGTCACTACTACTCTTCAGGGTCTGGGTGGATTCGACGAATTGGACCCCAAGGCCCTGCACATGCTGGGTATGCACGGTTCGGCTTATGCCAACATGGCCATGCAGGAGGCTGATTTGATCATCGCCATTGGTGCTCGTTTTGATGACCGTGTTACTGGTAACATCTCCAAGTTCGCTCCCCAGGCTAAGCTGGCCGCCGCTGAGAACCGCGGTGGTATCGTGCACTTCGAAATCATGCCCAAGAACATCAACAAGGTGGTCCAGGCCAACGAAGCTGTTGAGGGTGACTGTGCGGACAACATTCGCCTCCTCCTCCCCCAGATTGAAGCTGTGCCCGAGCGCAAGGAGTGGTTTGAGCAGATCAACGATTGGAAGGCTCGGTTCCCCTTCTCCTTGTACGAGAAGCAGACCGAAGAGGGCCCGATCAAGCCCCAGGCTGTGATCGAGAAGCTCAGTGACCTGACTGCTCACATGAAGGATAAGACTGTCATCACGACCGGTGTTGGTCAGCATCAGATGTGGGCTGCCCAGCACTTCCGCTGGCGCCAGCCTCGTACCATGATCACCTCTGGTGGTCTCGGTACCATGGGCTACGGTCTTCCCGCCGCTATCGGTGCTAAGGTCGCTCGCCCCGACGCTCTCGTCGTTGACATTGACGGTGACGCTTCCTTCAACATGACCCTCACTGAGCTGTCTACTGCCAACCAGTTCAACATCGGTGTTAAGGTCCTGCTCTTGAACAACGATGAGCAGGGTATGGTTACGCAGTGGCAGAATTTGTTCTACGAGGACCGCTACTCCCACACCCACCAGAAGAACCCCAACTTCGTCCCCTTGGCCGAGGCTATGGGTGTCGCCGCTCAGCGGTGCTCCAAGCCCTCTGAGGTCGAGGCCAAGCTCAAGTGGCTGATTGAGCACGATGGCCCCGCTCTCCTGGAGGTGATCACCGACCGCAAGGTGCCTGTCCTGCCTATGGTGCCGGCCGGTTGCGCTCTGCACGAGTTCCTTGTTTACGACGAAGGTATGCTATAATTTCCCCGGTCAACATGCTACAAACGCTGATATCCATGACTTTGCAGCCAAGGAGAAGGACAGGAAGGCCCTCATGCGCAAGCGTGGTGCTCCCATGTAAGCAACGGAGCTGATTCCAGCGAAGCGTTACGACGATCTTAGTTTTCTTCTTGCAAAAGTGCCCTCGACCCATGATCTGTTGATATCCACGGCGTTTCTGGCGGGTTCTAAAAACGCTCGCGGGTGCCATTCTGCGCCTACCCGACACCGATCACCCGACTCGCTTGGAGCCGGGGATTGTGAACGACAGTAAAGCAGCATCGTTCACTAGGGCGTGATCGAGTACCCCACGGAGAATGCAGTTGCTCCTCTGTGTGGCTCGACGACCGCCAAAGTCTTCCTTTTCTTTTCTGGGCATGTTCTCAATCGCATTATGGTTTGCCAGAAAAAGTTGCCTCGTTAGTTCTTGCGGAACCTCACTTGTATATAATCCTTTTGCTGCTGTAATCTTTATGACTTGGAAATACCATGGAGGCATCGAAAAGGCATCTGTTCCGGGGTGAAGACAAAGCCGAGAGAAAGTAAGAGCACATACAGTCCACGATAGTTAGGGTATTTTCGTATTATCGGGAGCCTGAGGCATATCACGTGCAGGCAGTTTGGGAGGTCCAAGTCCATTTTTGGCAATCTTCACAGCCGCGGTTCTTATCCGAAGTTGGAGCTAAGTTAGTCAGGGCTGGTTGCTTGTCCGCCTCTCGAGTTCTTCCCCCCTCCCCCACCGCCAATTTTTCTGTTTAGTTTCCCACACGTCGCACTATGCTGCGATCACCGATCTAACGTACTGTCACATCTTCACTCTATCTCCCTACATAGATAGTCCCGATACCTCACCATGGCCTCTGCTTCAGGTTTTCCAGCCGCTGGCAGGGCCCGATTATCCGACGCGGGTATGACATCAACCCACCAGACTGAAAGCACGACGACGACGACGACGACGACGACGACGACGAGCGAGTCAACAAATACCAGAAGCGACACCAATGCGACCCCCGGCGATAGCGGAGCCGTCGATGAACCGGTGCTTCTCCCCAGCCAATCCTCTCCCTCCGTCGAGACCGTCACGACCGAACCTCCGACAGCGGACCAATCCACCTTGGTCGACCCATCGTCATCAACCATGCACGACGACGAAGAACCGCGCAAATGCTGGATCTGCTACACGGACGAGACGGAAGACACGCCGCTCAGCTCGGAGTGGCGATCGCCGTGCCCGTGCGCGCTGACCGCGCACGAAGCGTGCCTCCTCGACTGGCTGGCGGACCTGGAGAATCCGCGGTCGCGCCAACGCAACGTCTCCAGCGCGAAGATGGTCTGCCCACAGTGCAAGACGGAGATCGTGGTGTCGCGGCCGCGCAGCTACATCGTGGATGTCGTGCGGCTGTGCGAGCGGGTGGCCGGCCGGCTCGCGCTCCCGGGGATGGTGTTCACGCTGGCCGGCACGGTGTGGGCGGGCTGCTGCGTGCACGGCGTCTACTCGATGTACTTTGTGTTCGGGGCCGAGGAGGCCCGCCATCTGCTGGAGGAGTCGATCGACGGGTCGTGGAACGCCGGCGTGAACCTGGGCCTGCCCCTGATCCCCATGTGTCTGATCCTGACCCGCACGCGCTACTCAGAGAGTCTACTTGCTGCGATCCCATTCCTGCTGCTGGTCACGCACACGCCGGTCATCGAGCCGGCCGCCGCGACGGACCTCTGGCCGCCCACGCCGGCGGCGACGTTCGCCGCGCTGCCGTACGTCAAGCGCCTGTATTCGCTGCTGTATGACCGGATGTTCGGGAAGCTGGAGAAGAAGTGGATCCAGGAGGTGCAGCCACGGAATTCGGAGATCAACGAGCTCGATGACAATGCGCCGCCGAACCATCCGGAGCCGATCCCCGATGAAGCGGAACCGGTAGATGATGGCAACGGACCGGTGCTGATGGAGTTCGACTTCGAGTTGCAGGTGGGAATGAGAGGGGACGAGGACGGGGCCCGGGGATTGTTTGGGTTCAATGGTGGACGAGGTGCAGATGGACAACAGCTGCAAGGTCCGCAGAATAACGGCGGCGGCGCAGCAGCAGCAGCAGGGCAGGGACTGGGCATGGGCCGGCGGGATGATGCGGTTGCTGAGACGACGAACCTGGCCGATCTAGTTCTCGGGGCTCTGGCTTTACCGGCCATCTCCGCGTCGATGGGAGGGTTGCTTCGACATGTGCTGCCGAGCTCGTGGACAACGCCTTCCACGGCGGGCCGACCGGGCCTGTTGCAAACGCGCTGGGGCCGCAGCGTCGTTGGAGGCTGTGTGTTTGTGCTCCTGAAGGATGCCTTGGTGCTCTACTGTCGGTGGAAGTTGGCGCAGTCCCATCGTCGTCGCAAGGTGCTCAACTACGACCGATCCAAGAAGCATCTCCGGGCGAGCAGCAGGGCAAACAACAGCACTTAGGCTTATAGTACGCAGCACGACTGTTGGAATTTGCATTTTCTGAGGCGTTTTGTTGTGGCGAATGGGATGATTATTCATGATACACTTTCTTTTCGTTTCGTTTGCGACTCTCCGACTCTACGTTATTTGGACAAAAAGGCGGGCACATATTTTCAAGGATGCACTTAGCAACAAGCAGGAAGCACTTAGCAATCAGCAATTAAAAATGCGATCCACCTTATGCCTAAAAACCGTAGAGCGTTTTACCTCACCCAGTCTGTTGCACATAGTTAAGTACATATACAGTTCATCGACAAACCAGAGCCCCGGGGACGGGGCGCTTAATCATCCACCTAAGCGCGCGGCTGGCCTCCGCACCGCAGCCCCCAAACTTTCCGCCGGGCGAGATACTTTCTTCCCCGAAACAATTTCCCTTCACTCTCTTCCTCAACATCACGGCACCACCCTGCCTCCAGCCACGGAAGATGCGAACAACACTCTCCCCGGTTCTCGCCTCCCTGGCGAACGTCTTCCGCATCCCCCTGTCGCAGACTGCCTCCCGCCCGGCCGCCGCCGCCGCTCTCACCCGGCTCAATGGCAGCAACAGCAGCAGCAACAGTACCACCACCAACAGACAATTCTCAACGACAAGCGCAATGGCCAAGCGCAAGAACGCCGGTCCCTCGCGGGACAAGCGAGTCAGTACGTGTCCTAGCCTATGGCCCCGTTTACCCAACCCAACCCAACCCAACTTAACACCGTACACCGTACACCGTACACCCTACACCCCAAGAGAGACTCAATCCTCTCAACAACTCCAACCCCAAACCCAACCCACCCCAATTACCCAATCCCCTCCCCCCCCACAAAACCTCACTAACAACCCCGAAAAGCAATGATCCGCTACTTCCTCCACCACCCGCTGACCCCGCGGCCGCTGCGGTTCAGCCGCACCCGGTTCCTGCGGCACTGGACGATCCACCGGGCGTGGCACCTGTACCAGGCGCAGCGGCGGCGGGCGGAGACGCTGGAGCTGGAGCGGCAGTGGCAGGCGATGCGGGCGGCGTGCGAGGAGCTGCGCACGGGCGCCGGCGACGGCGGCAAGCTGTTCCGGAAGAGCATGATCAAGACGGGGATCTTCAAGGATCTGTTCCCCATCGAGTACGCCCGGTTGCAGACCGAGGGCCCGCCGGCGGAGGGGTGGAATCATGAGTGGAAGGCTTTGAAATGATCCATCCTATTTTTGTGATGGGTTTTCTGGGGGGGGGTATATGGGTTATCCGGGGGGTATACATGGAAGGTTGGGGTGGGAAAATATGGGTGTAGAGACGCTCTCCTGGGTTTAAGACTGTTTTTTTTGTCGTGTATATTAGTACATACCTGCTTCAATCATATTATCTGGTGTTGTTTGTTTACTCTGTGGGTACTGGGTACTCTGCTTTGCCAGTGGTAAACCTTCCATACTACTCATATTTACTGCCTCGATGTTCAAATAGCTGATCGCTGGGCACTGGCATGCACACGCACACAAAGGAATGGACTCGAAAACCCGTCAAGGAAAGTAATGTCAGTCGACTCAAGTAATGTCAGTCGACTCCAAGGGTATGAAACAGAGGTCAAGACTGCAACAACAGAAAAAGGCCACCCGAACGCCGAAAATGCAAAGTCGATCAACAGCCACCACACACTATCTCCTTCACATACTGTCCACCTTTTGGTCCCACCACCCCCCGCAATATGCACATGCCATGCTCATGGCTCTCCGAACGTTGGAAAATGGCTCAACACAAGATGCAACAACGCACAAAAACGAAGGATCAATCTCGGTCGTGCGGACGGGCGGGCTGGCATGCATGCAATATGTTCGCTGGAAACAAGGACATCCTTTCCCCCCAAACATACAATACGAGAAAAAGAAAGATCCGTCCGACATCATAGCACAATGCAGCAGGAGCTCTTCCGCTTGTCGAACGTCAGCAGCGCGGCCCGGGTGGCGGCCTCGAACACGTCGTCCACCCCCTCCCCCGTCAAGGAGGAACACTCCAAGTACTTGCGGGCGCCGATCTGGGTGCCGATATCGCTTCCTTCCTTGGACGTGACGAACCTCAGCGACTTCTTCCGCATCTCCTCGACCGCCAAGGGGTCCTCCCGGAGATCCTTCTTCAACCCGACCAGGATGATGGGGACGCCGGGACACCGTTCGTTCGCTTCTTCGATCCACTGGACCGTAGTAGCCCTTGTCAGCGCCCCGTTCTGCTACCCAAGATAACAGAGCCACGAACCTTGTGTTTGACGTTCTCCAGCGAATCAGGCGTATCCACCGAAAAGCCGATCAGAATCACATGCGCTTTCGAGTAGGCCAGCGGGCGCAGCCGTTCGTAGTCTTCCTGACCAGCAGTATCCCACAGAGCCAATTGAACCGACCGACCGTCTACGCGGCAATCTGTTACGTAGTTCTCGAAGACCGTTGGCACCTAGGTTGGATCATGCGCCGGTCAGGATGTTGTTGCAAAGAACAAAAAGAGCGACGGGGGGTAGACAATACATACATAATGCTGCATGAGACAAATCAGTCAGTGACATCATCCTTAGAGAGTTTCGAGTTGGGACAACAACATACCGTTGGAAAGTAGCCCAGCGTGAAGACGCTGAGCAAACTGGTTTTCCCACAGGCACCATCCCCGATAATCACCAGCTTTCTATCCTAGTCGTTAGAACCCAGGCGAACCTCAAATGTCCAGGTGCATCGTGTGTAACTTCATGGTGGCCGCCAACACAGAATGGGGGATGGGAGATGGGCGGATCCCGGGGGATCTCCAGGCACCACCCGTTTCGGGCGGAGGTGAGAGGGGGGGGGGGGGGGGGGGGGGGGGGGGGGGGGGGGGGGGAAGAGAGGAGAGGGGAGGGAGGGAAGAGACAGGTTCAAGGGAAAGGAAGGTCGATCGAAATAGATTAAAGGCGAATCTGCCGCACGTACCTTCGCATCACATTGTCATTTTGTTGTTGTTGTTGCGCCATGATTTCCAAAGAGAAAAGAAAAAGAAAAGTGGGAATCTTTAAAGTCGATCCCCTGGACGGAGTTGCAGGCGAGGAATGGACGGGATGAGAGCAACGGGAAATCAATGTGAGGGAGGGCGCGCTGACGAGCCCTGGCGGGAACCCGGAACGGAACAAAACCCCCCAGGCAGGCAGCAAGCAGGAGGCTGTGACGGAGATGTCTAGGGCCGTGAACTAAATCTCTGTAGCTCAAATGTGTAAGTGTAAGTGTAGGTGTAGGTGTAGGTGTAAGATGGCGAATGTTTGATTGAAGATTGATTGGGGAGGGGAAAGTATAATGGATGGGAGGGGAAAGAAAGTGAGATCAGATTGGTCAATGTCCCCTCCCCCTAAGTATGAAATAAACTGATGGAGGAAGAGAAAAGGGTCATTATATTGGGAAGGGAAGATGTAGGAGTAGAGAGGAAGAGGAACGAGGGAGGAGATGAAGAAGAAGAGTAAGAAGAGCAAGAGTAGGTAGACAACAGAGCAATCGGAGCCAAGCAGAGAGAGTACGGAGTAGACAAGACAAGACAGACAAACAGTCAGATACTGAGTAGATATGGCTAGGTCCAAGATTGGTTCTGGAAGGCGGTCGCCCATCATGGATCCAAATGAGGCTGACGGTTATGGTAGGTACCAGGTATGTAATCCCATGTAATCTCACAAGTAACTCACCTTCTCGGGCCCGAATACGGTCACGGAACAAAGCTCCAATTATATGACTGGTTGAGGAAAGTATGTACTCCGGACCTACTAGGTAGTGATAATGAATCCCACGGGTGAGAAAACGAGGTAGTATATATGGACTGATTGATTGATTGATTGATTGATGGATTGATTGATTACCACTATCCCATCAGCTACTAGTCATTATTCTTCTTGTCAAGTGGAAATCCATCGAAAACCTCGAGAGAAAATTCCAGCCCGGCCGAAGCACCAGCACCAGCACCAGCACTCGCCCTAAATGGACTGGACCACTTCCTCCCTCCACTTCTTCCCCCCCTCCTCCCTCCTCCTCCCCCCTCTCATACTCCGTGGTAATCAAACCTTTGAATGGAAGGAGGAGATCGACCTAGTGGGATGGCACAGCTGAAGAATCGTCACCGCACGGCCGTTTGTTACTAAGGTTAGAGATTTGTCTCAGACAGTGCAGGCCAGAAATGGGTGATAATCATGGCTACTATTATCAGTGCCGCCCGGATGCAAAAAAAAAAAAAGGAGCCCAGAGCAGGGGCTACCGCAATTGACCATTGGATGATCGTGCAGCTCGATATTTATAGGATCCTCCATTGGTCGGTAGGGAGGGAGAAGCGATGTACTAAAGAAAGAGGAAAAGAAAAAAATAAACACGGACAAATCCGTGGTGCTTATCCAAGCAGCAACTAGTTAACACTTACAATCAGTCAATCACGACCACAACAGCTCGGGAGAGCTTGAGAGGCGGTTCGTGATCAGAAACATGTGGACTCCACTCTTCCCCTGTCGGACAATCCTCCTCACTCCGAACCCTGTACGGGGTCTGTAGTACATGCTGTACAGTGTCATGACTGTCATCATCATATCCGGGATCCTCGTCACCCTTAGCAGCCAGCTAAACTACTTGCTCTCGACCTCTGTGCATGCCTCCCTTCCTCGTTCATGAAGGTCAACTGCGGACCGTGACATTCTTGACTTGACTTGACAGACATCTTGCGGCCCACAATCCCCGAATTTGGTGCCTGGCCTGTCAATTCATAGTTTCAGACTGTAACTGATTTACCTAATGGGCGCCGGACAGGGCGGCGGGCTGGATGTTTCCATGTTTCCCGCCATCCTCCCTTACCAAATCTCAGGACTCCCTGACTCCCTAATCAACTTATACGATATGCTTAAATCACTGGCCAACTAACAATCAACGCTGGTAGTTACAGACTCCAATGAAAAGAGAGATACCAAGCAAACCGAATCCCGCTAATACCATGACCCTTACTCATTGGATACCTAAGAAACCACACCACTGCATCCTGCAACTACTCGCTCAGAGCTCCACCACATCAACGTCGTAAACGAGGTGTTTCTGGCCTAAGCCCCACGACTCTAACCCCAGAATACGATACAGGCTCAAACTAGCCCACATAACGTTTTCTTTCAGCCACAACGCCCAAGGGTTGATGGCTTTCCGGCCTTGCCCATTCTTGGCTGCCAGTTGATAGATCTCGTTGACCCGCGGTCGACGAATTGCGTCGTATCGGGCAAACGCATCGTCCAAGCTCCAGTCCTGCTCTTGCAGTACCCGTGAGAGCAAGAACACATCTTCCAATGCCATGGACACTCCTTGCCCTGCGTGAGGCTGCATTGCATGCGCTGCGTCCCCAAGCAGGATTGCCCGAGATGTATACCATTTCCCACCCAGCGGGAGTCGGAAGACCGGATAAAACCCGATAAACTCCATGCGGTCCACCAATTCAGTCAGGATGCCTCGCCATTCGCCTCGAGCGGGCTTCGACACTGCTCTGATCGTGGCCTTGAACATCTCCATCTCTTGTTGACGTCGCTCTTCCCACCCATCCCGCTCGTTCCCGGACTCAGAGTACGGAATGGGCGTCTCCCGCGAAAACAGCCAGTAAAGCTGGTCCCCGGACGCACTACACGGAAATGTTGCCATAAACCCCGCGGTGGTGGGGATTATGTTGGCCGACGTTTTAAGCTTCTCCGGTAGACCAGCCGTCGAGATAATGGAACCGCTACCCGCAATGCCGGAGTATTCGGGCTTGCAGGGCGGGTCTACATGCAAACGTCTCACGCTGGAATGGATTCCGTCACATCCAATCAGTATGTCGGCTGTCTCGGTCGAGCCGTCAGAGAAGGTTACCGTCACGCTGGATGCATCCTCCGTGATCGAGGTCAGTCGTTTGTCGAAATGGACCGGAATCTGCTCCTCATGGACGGCGTCGAACAACACGCTCTGTAGTTCTCGCCGGAGAATGCGCAAGTATCCAAAGCCAGTCCTTTCCGCCGCCCAGGCTGAGATATCAGTGCTGCCAATGCTGCCGTACTGCAGTGATTGCAGATGGAATCTGTCGACGGAAGAGCCGCGGGCAAGGAGGGCGTCGTGCAGACCCAAACGATGAAGTAGACGCAAGCCGTTGGCAAATATGCCTATGGCCCCACCAATCGTAGTTGGCTCAGGTCTCAGCTCGTACACTGTAACATGGATGCTGTTCTCGCGATGTAATTTGAGTGCAGCAGCAAGGCCAGCCGGGCCCGCACCGATAATGATAGCCTAGATAGATAGATGTCAGGAGCACTTACCGAGACTCTGTGGAATATCACTTACTTTCTTAATAACAGGCATAGTAATATGATGATTTGTTTGGCATGTATTGAAAAGCAATCCAGGAGAGGCTGTCGCCTGTTCTTATAGACAGGAGGGCATGGTGCTCCGCGGGAGTTCCGCGGAGGGTGATGCCCCAACGGGATTAGCTCTGGGCATTGCCCGTGTCCGGGGTAGGGAGATCTTACCCGCAGTCCGGTTACGGTACTTCTTCTTAGTATCATCCATGATGGTTATCTATCCTCTAGAATACGTGATCGCTCTCTTTCGCCGTGCAGGGGCAGGGCAGAAAGGAAGTGCTTATGCCTCGAGGCCTTGTGATTCCTACTCTACATGACCGAGAAGAGGACCAGGACGGAAATGAGCCCATCCATTGGGTGCTATTTTCACACTTGTCTTATTCTCTTGGTCTGGAGGGTACGAAATATCGGTGCATGGATCTTTCTGCTGAACATGCTGACATGACTAAGATGCAATTAAACCTTCACTCTTACGAGAACACCTGACTTGCAAGGCATAACCAACCTATCGCTACGAGACAAACAATAGTGACCAACGCTTTGCAATGACCCAGCTAGGAAGATCCCTCGCAGATCCGTCCATAACAGCTAGCTTCGCGCTCGAACAAGCACTCCGGGACTGCTGTGGCCTTGTCGAAAGCGACTTCAAGTGTAGATAAGAATCTACTATTCTTATCTCTAACTTCTGGGACAGCTTGAACAACGCCTAATTCGCCGAAACATGCAGCGTCTCCAACATGACTGACCCACCACGACACACTGTTATCATGAAAGCAACACCGTCATCAAGTTACTGTGCTGCAATAATCTTATCAGCCATCTCGGGAAGTGTCTCTGCCATGACATCCATATCTCCAAACAACTCAGTGATCGGCTCCTTCTCCCAAATGGAACAATAAGCGGATTTGTATCTGTTAAGACGTGTTAGCAGCCTCGGAACCCGGTTGTGATGCTGCACCACTCACCCCGCACAGCGAGCCGCCGAAACGTCCCACATATGACCAGCAGCGAACCATGGCCGCCCGTGCTGTGACAGTCGTTCAAGGAGCGGCTGGTACGCTTGCAGATCAGGCTTTCCTATCCCCTGGGTATCGCAGGACAGCAGATTCTCTGCGGGCCATTCGAGACCGCCCTCTGCGAAGTAGCCCCCCACTCTCGCCAGGTCCCCAGCTGTGAAAGCCCAAACCGTGTACCCAGCGTCGCGCAGCTTGGTGATGCATTCTATCGCGCCCGGTCGCAATCCAAGTTTGGCATACTTTTCCATGATGAATTCGAGGTCCTGTTCCGTGGCGAAGCTTCGGGGCTCGGAGATGCCTGCCATGTGCAGCATGCGCCAGAACAGCAGCTCAAAGCACGTCGCAAAGGGCTTATACTGGCCACTGATGCTAAGATAGGTGTATTCCCGCTCTGCAACTTCGATCCAGGTGTATCCCAGCAGCGTCGGCTTGATGCCCTCCGCTCGGAGTCGGTCGCCCATCTGCTCGTCGATCGCATCGAATAGGACATCATACGAAACCAGAGTGCCCACGATGTCGAAAACCACGTTCTTGCTGCTAGACATAATGATGATTCTGGACACTAGAAGGTATGCTTGTCGGTGTGGGATGTTAGGTCTTTGGCTGCGACCAGAAGAGTATTCATATCGCTTCTTATATGCTCGAATGTGGTCGTGGCTAGCCTTGGACTCCTTTGCACCCCACTCTTGCTCTACTTGGCCTGACGCAACCAAGTGAGGAGAAGCCAGGATGTGAGATCCGAAGACCTATGACTGGCTGTCTGCGCCGTACATTGTGACTCGGCTATCGTCCAAGTCTTATCTTGTTGTATATGGCTTCACGCCGAAATGATTAGATATGGGTGCATAACGACCAATGGTATCTCTACGTTGCTATCTACAGTAGGAGATATAAGATGTCGCAGGGCATTCCAAGTGACTCATTCTCATCAACTCGGCAGTACACGAGACGCCAACAGCCATGACGACCGAAAAAACGGCCGCGGAACCACACAATGTGGAGATTATCGCTGATCTCGAGCAAAGTGATGACTTGGCGAAAGGCACATCGGAGCTCCTGGGAGCCAACGAAGATGTCGGCTATCATCGATCGCTGGGCCGTCGCCAAATCATGATGATGACCTTCGGGGCAGGCATCGGCACTGGCTTGTATGTCCAATTTGTCTCCTATTTGTGCTAGGAAAATAAGTCTCATAATGTATCAGATGGGTCGGTACAGGCACAGCCCTGAAGTACGGTGAGACAATATTAGCCCTGGGAACGAACTACGGATCTGACCATCAAATAAAGCGGGTCCGGGTGGCATTGCCATCGCCTATACTATCACTGCGTATGTCCACAACAAAAGATGCTGTCTTGTTCACGTCCTAACCACTCGCCGCCAACAGGATGGTCGTCTACCTACAGTATATCTCGGTTGGAGAGATGACAACATACAAGCCGGTCCATGGTGGATTTATCCGACAATGCATCGAGTACGTGGAGCCTGCATTTGGGTTTGCAGTGGGGATCAACTTCTGGTTTTCCGTGAGCCTTCATCTCCACGGACATGACCCTCGATACGCCTAACAATGGATAGTGGGTGATCTGTATCCCCGCTGAGATCACAGCGGCAGTTTCCGTGCTCGAGTTCTGGCCGCAGACCCAGGTCGTCCCCCTTGCAGCATACATCACCATTTTCCTGGTCATTATCGCCTTGGCCAACTCATTCGGGGTTCGGCTCTACGGCCACGTCGAGTATGTCATGTCGTTTGTCAAATGTCTAGCCATCGTGGTCATGATCTTCTTTATGATCATCATGACCTCCGGTGGGATTCCAGCCACGCAGGGTGCGATTGAATTCCGCTACTGGCGGAGTCCCGGTGCTCTCAACAATGGCATCAAGGGGATTTCCAAGGCCTTTGTGCAAGCCCTGTTCAGCTTTGGCGGCGGAGAACATATCGCTGTCATTGCCGGCGAGGCACGGGACCCTCGCCGGACCATCAAGAAAACCGTCTATCCGGTCTTTTGGCGCATGTTCGCCTTCTTCGTCGTCAACATCTGGCTCATGGGCATGTGCGTGCCGTATAATGACGAGAACCTGGTGAACGGGAGCGGCACACTCGGAAGTCCCTTTGTCATTGCCATCGAGCGTGCAGGGGTGATGTGGCTGGCTCATATCATCAATGGCTTCATATTTTTGACGGTGATCAGCTGTGGAATCACCAGCACTTATATTGCCAGCCGTAGTCTGACAGCGTTGTCGGACATGAAGATCATCCACGGCGTGTTTGGACGGAAAGACTCTGCCGGGCGACCATATGTATCATTGGCCATCAGCACCGCCCTCGGGGGAGGCTTAGCCTACCTGAACTGCAACGATACGGGTGCTGTAGTATACAGTTGGTTTTCGTCATTGGTGCGAAACCCTGCATCTCCGTGGACCTGTTTTCGACTTTTGAAGCTAACATTAACCAGGTGTCCGTCTCAACCCTGTTCCAGTGGTCCAGCATCTTCATCTCGCACATCCAATTCCGACGAGGCCTCGCCGCGCAGGGCATCAGCACCCAGTCACTACCCTTCCGAGCACCTGCAGCCCCCTACCTGCAGTACTTCGCGCTGGTGATTGTTCTCTTCATTGCAGGTTGCGAGTTCTATCTGGCCTGCTTCCCCTTTGGTGAGAAGGGATCCGCCAAGTCCTGGTTTTCCACTTACATTGCTGCGCCGTTGTTCTTCATGGACTATTTTGGTTACAAGGTACGTCAGTCGGCCGCAAACGATACAATGCTGCTGTTGATCCTTTCTAGATTTATTATCGTTCGAAGCTTGTCCAGCCAACTGAGATGGACTTCACGGCGGCTCAGGCTTTCGATGAAGAAGACCGGGCTAGGGCTGCGGTGGGGTATGAGCGGAATCATGAGGAAGGCACAGGGATGATGCAGCAGATCAAGAACTTGATCTTTGGTTAACTTGGTTTCAACTGAAGGTTTTTGAATTCAGTGAACTTAGAACACATAGTAGGTGTTAGATAACACATTCCGTGTTAGTGGTGAACCAAATGTAGATGGCACATCGGATGCATGAATGAATGAAAATATTTGAACAACTCTGTCCTCCTGGGCGTCGATTGAAGTAAAGTAGACAAGTATGGTCAGCCCACGCCGAGGGAGTAAAAGGGTCTGTGGCAGCGTGTTCATGTGCCTTTGCTGGCAGAACCACTCAAGCAGCACCAACCCCTCTCTTTCCCGGCATGTTTCCCGCGAATACACGCCGAGCTAGTAGTCGCCTAAGCAAGGTGCTAAGACCGGGCCTGGTGGCGGGAGTAAGATTAAGGCGGTCTGTGTGGTGGGTGGGAGTTGGGAGACCAGATGGAGCCTTTCAGAGGTTCGCAGGTTCGCCCGAGTCAATCTAGACTAGAGATGAAGATGATTTGATGTTGGAAGTAGGAGAAGAGTCAGGCAGAAAGGCAGCGAGACTCGCTTGCGGCGGCTAATCCAGTTGCGGCGAGTCGGCGAGCGGCAGGGCAGCCATCCAGAGGCCAACGTTTGTTCCGGGACCACAGCAATCAAATCAATCTTGCGCGTATCGCCGATGTGCCCTCACTGCATCTCCCTCCCACTCCTCCTCCTCCAGCTCCTCCATGGCCACCGGCATCACAATACTTCTCCTCTCTTGACATACTTACGTACTTACGTACTTACGTACTTACGTACTTTCGTTCTTCCCGCTTGCTGATCCGCGCTTTCATTTCCTGTCTGGGTCTCCCTCGTTGTCCTCCCCCTCGCAATCGCCTATAACTTATCCCGACCGCCGGTGCGCGCTTCCTTCCCCTCCCAGTTGACGACTGGTGCGGCCCGGGTCCTTTCCACCCCTCTCCGCCCTGGCTCGCTCTCCGTTTGTCGTTGTCCGTTGTCCGACCCTACCCAATTCTCTCCAACCCTCCAACCCTCCAACCCTCCAACCAATTCACCTTGCGCGCCTCTTCTCTCCACATCCCAACTGTCGCGTCTATCAACACA